TTTATGGCGGTGATGTCGGCGCGGTATTTGAAATGTTCATATTGATATTTTTTTAACCCTGGCTTTGTAATAAAAAATATGGCAAAACGAAAACAGCCAAGCGTCACAGCTTTTGGATTCACAAGCAAAGAAGCGAAGGAGTCTAAAAATGACAACGTGAACGGAAAACAACTTTTAGTTGGCCGGCTGTAAGCGGCGTTAGGGTCGAGCTTGACAGCTCCACACCGCGGGAGAGGCCTGCCGATGCGGAGCCTGAAGAGGCTTCAACAACGGCCACATCCGCCGGCATAGTGACACCGTCTGTATTAGTAGAAGAGTGTTTTTATAGCAATTGATCGCGTCCGCACTGCTGCGCCAGTCAACAGAGCGTGCGTGTGACATATTTAGTAGCAGGATGTGCTCTGAAAAATAGGGCTCCCCGAAAGCAAATGGCTAATTCGAAAACTGACAGAGCTCCCTCTATACAAATCAAACTGTAGACGGTGTGAAAGCACCTATTGTTTTAAATAATGGTCGGAATGTGACCTGTGAGCCTTCTGAATTACCGTGGGACAGCACATTCTAAACTAAATGTTCAATCAATAAAGTAACATCTTATCTTATCTTAATAATATCTTCATATTAATAATAATAATAAATCATACAGTATGTGTCCGAAAGGGAGCAGGAGGAAGCAAACACAAAAATATACAAAAAATATACTGCATATTAAAGCAAACAACTGTAAAGCTAAAAGTATGAGCATAACAAATAAAGAAGTGCAATGTAAACATTTACATTATAATTATGATTATTTAATATATAAAGACTATATATTATTGAATTACAAGATTAGATATACTTTAGTATAGTATCTAAAATATTGATGTGTTCAAATGCTCTTCAAAACACAACTGAAAGTCCATGAAACTGGTTAAAACCTGAAATTGAAAATCTGGCAACGCCCTCTTGGAATATAGTGGGAGGGCTTAACATTCCTCTATACTGGTTTTAGGCAGGTCGTAGGCAGGAAGCTGTAAACTGGAGTCTGAAATGAAGTGCTACATCTGTATTTAACTGACTGTTTGCACTCTGGTTAGACCCTCCTAATTTCGTTACTGCTTGCATTATGTAATGACAATAAAGTAATCTAATCTAACATAAATGATTATAATATGGGCGTTCATACAAGCATAAGAATTGATGGATTGATTATCTTCTAAATGTGAACGAGTTGATGTATTACTTTGAACTGTGCTCTAGTAGATTTTGCCCTAAAGCAGCCCTATGGACTAATATATCAGTTAAAAAACTATATAAATTGTAAGTTTGCCAAAATGAGCTCACATCAGGGGGGTGCAACAGTGGCACGCAGTGATATTCACGGGTTGGAAAAACACACGTCAGACCTTTGTAGATGTGATTGTTGGAGATTGTTTTGTTGCTGATCTTTCTCTCGCTGGGCCTTTCACTCTCGTCGTTCGCCTGAGTGATAGATAAATACGCATTCAAATGCGAATTAATTCAGAAATTATTTGATAGTATTATTGTGAAGTATTATTGGTGGTAATGTAAATATTTGTGACACTCAGTAAATACAATGAAATGATTGACTTGTTCACGTGTAAATCAACATGTCTCTCTCTCCCAGGGTGCTTGGGCAAAAGAGTTCCCCGGGGGCCCACACCCTATAAATCGTTACGGGAGGGAGTCACCAGAGGGGAAGTTTAGCAGTACTTTGCACTTATTTTATTTATTATTTATGTACATATTCTGGGTCTGTAGGTATTTATTGGTGGTTAACGGTTTAATGTAGACATTTAATGACGTGTATATTTAACCAGTGAATGGTACGTGCCAGCCAATTAAGGTTGGAGGCTCCTATAAAAGGCAGCCATTCTGTGTTTGTGGGTGTTGTGTGTGGTGGAGGGCAGCCATGTTGTGAGCAGAAAATAAAACAATTTCATCTTGAAACGGCATTCTGTATCTTGCTCTCCTCTTTGCCTCCATGGCCGGTCGGCTTTCGTTATAATGAGAAGGGCTCATGAGATAAGGGAACATTGTGAACCACACTATATACAATGTAGCAGTGCAGCGCTGACCTACACTCACTTAGCTGGAACTGATGTTTGATGTACTTTATCATTTTAGTACTGCCATGTGCTGTTTGCATATTTCTCTCTCAAGGGATTTCATGTCAACATTCGGCTGCTTTCAGTACGCCGATGTAGAGAAATCTGCAATTCATGCTCATCGGCAGGACTTTATCATGAATGTTCTCTGAAATACAAAGCTTTATTTGGTCAGTGGATTTAAGGTCAAAACTGGTGAGAAAATCATTCATACGCAGAGCTGGGGAAGGCATCCCTACAGCTGCGTGGGAGGCAGCGAAATGAAGAGTTGATGGTTAATCCATAGTGATGGATCAGAGTACCGCAGGGCTGGAGTCCTGCGGTGTCAAGGTGTGTGGAACAACAGTGACTTTTCACCCCTCCTTACTTCTTCAAATTTTTCTCTCCTCCTACTCCAATCCACTATTTTTATCTTGAAATTCCAACATGTCACTTGATGGCATTTTCTGTGTGTTAAAGAGAGAAAGATATTTGAATGCTTTGTACCATGGTGTCAGTTGGCATTAACCAAAAATCTGAATCAATATCCGAACACTAAAACTGTTGACCTTTCCAGCAGCCCTGTGTCCACATATCTCTTGCTGTGATAGGGCTCTGCTTGAAAGGGATGGTTATATTTACTGTCAGATGTTTGAGTGTCACAAATGCCAATTTTCATAATGAACCTTTTTACTTATGACTAAGACTGTGGTTATGATTTTAACCCTCTCCAAACATTTCAGTGTGAATACATTAACGGACAGTTGCTCATTATCACTGTATTGCTCTGTTGCATACAAGCAGCCAATCTAACCACTGGGTTTTGTTTTCTAGGAGAAAATCATTGGCCGGTCCGCTCCCACAGTCACCATGGTAGGGATGGCTGTTCTTTGTTCAAGGGTCAAAGTTGCCTCCAACCACTTCTCCTTGATTTCTGTATTTTTCTTATGAACCTGTTAGTCAGGGGTAACCTCTGATGATGGTTTGGAGGCAGCTGACACCTGCAGTGTTAATTGTAGTGCAGTGCCTTCCCATTGACCTCTACCTCTCTATACCTAACATGTGTACTTTCCCCTGGACATTTAGCCCTGCTTTGTGTGTGATGACTACCTGTGTGCAATCCGGTGTGTGTACTATGGTTTCTGGGGTGTAACGGTACACAGGTCAATGTCAGGTCAATAAGAGCTGCAACCAGGAGGCAATATTCGCTTGTTTCTGTTCAAAGTAAAACAAAGAGATGCCTAACAACACCTCTGAAGATCACTACTTAACACATAATACCTTAATTGTTTAACTCATGTACTCATTGAAATGTAAAATACCATACCACCACGATTTGTTTTGGAAAGAACAACTTCTGGCTTCTTAATGGTCGGGTGTGTCCAACCTAATTTCACTAAGGGTCACACTGTGAAATGAGAATCACATTAGGGATAGGCATACAGTTTGTTGCTTTACATAACATCTGTCTCACTGCAAAACTCCCTGGGTGGGGGGGGGTCGCTCTTTGAAATGTAAAGTCCCAATGTATTAATCCAAATGAGACAATTTAAACTAATTTGGTAATAAATACAAGTACCGTTACACCTTCAAGGAAAACATTGTGAAGAGAAGATGTCCGCTGTCTTCAGTTTTTGATTTGAACAAAAAAAAACATTGAGTATGGGTCTAATTCATGAAAAAGCTTACCAAACTAGAACATACTGAATGAAACCAGAATATTGTGTCCCTCTTGATGCTTGTTGCAGATGTCCCACATTGTTGTTTTTTCATTGTGTTGTGCCTTAAAGCCAAACTGGTCTCATTTCACTCCTCTGTTCTAATTCCTTCCCATTGAAAGTATGTATTGAACTGTTTCACTGTCGCTTTTTCTGTGTTACCCACTTTACTAAATTAATGTGCTAACCTGCATGGTGTGTGTGGTCTTCAAATCTCAGTGGAGAGGAGGGCTGGTCTATAAAGGCATGGATAAAGGCAGTTTTGATGATGTTACTTCTTTTATTTTTAAGAAGACATCAGATAAATCTGTGCTTATCTTTGCTTAAGATATACGGACCCTCCTCTTCCTCCTCTACCTCTTCCTCGCCCTCTGCCTCCTCTCAAAGGAAGTCAGCTTTTCAACAGCTCGCAAATGGAGTGGGTTGGTATGTCAATCAACTGTTGAAATAAATGGCTTTTCATTCCTAGATATAACGTCACATGAAAATGCCAGACTGTTAAACTGTTTGATTTTCAGGAAAGATTATTACCTTCAAAGCCACCCGGGCTCTATAGTGAGGGAACATCATGAAGCACTACTTCAACAAAATGGATCTGTTATTGCCTTTTAACACACAGGGTCACAGTATCCCTAGGTGGGTTCACTGTCTATCACATTTCAAAATGAACTGGATATGAAGTCCATCTCAACCTCCTGCCCTCCATCCCTACTGAGACTGTGGACTATTGTCAAGCTGCACAGGCATGTCAAGTGACTGCTTGACCTCTGGTGTTGTCGGTGATTGTGCGTTATGAGATAAAGAGCGATACTTACTGGCAATATAGTCTGTTGGGGTTTTATTTTTGTACACAGAAACGTTGCAATCTGCGGCTCTTGTGGCTCATTAATAAAGCTTTCTATTAATGTATAATGATATCTGCATATTCAGGCACAGCTTTTCAGTCCAACCAATTGAAAATGTGTTTTCACTGGTTAGCAGACATGAGATGTAGTAATACTGTAATTACATACTTTACCTATACAAACAAAAATAGCAGCATTACAAAACAATATCATCTGAAACATATCCACATTGGCAGTTAACATTTAGGGATTAAATGTGAGCACTGTTGGTCACTAGATACATGTCAGAGGGATGTGATGGAGCCACTAGGACAGGAACATCCACACCCTTTTTGCACACATGGACAGTGCACTCTGTCTTCCCCCCACCCCCCCCCCAACCTCCTATGGGCCTTTCATAGCTCCAGTAGCTCCACTTGGCAGGGCTAATGGGATGGCAGGGCTGTTGGTTTTATTTTAGAGAGGGATGTGGAGAGGAGAGTGGAGCAGAGGGCTGAGGGTGGCTCTCTAATAGATATGGGGGGGTTGAGTCTGGGGGTGGAGGGCTGCTGATCACTGGACCATGATGCTGTCTCTCTTCTTTTCAGACCACTGGCCCCTCACATACTTTTCTTTCTCCAATCTTTCCCCAGGTTTTTTATCTTTATCTTACTCTTAAGTTAGAGAGAACTGCCTCATCTCTACTCTGTTCATAACTCCCCCAGACATAGAAACAGCAGAGATTGTGGACACACCCACTTACACAGACAAACCACCCACAGTAGGCTACTGGCTATTTTATGAACTGGCTGCTCAGCTGTTTGACGGAATGACTTCTTAGAAATTAATTCTCTCATTGGTTCTGCAAATGTCTTTTAACCTTAGCACCGGGTTCCAGGTGTTCTGTGGAGAGCTCAGCATGCCTCGCCTAAGTGTGAATGTGGATGTGATGTTTGGAAGGGTGATGTGAAACAAAATGCCACGTCAAATGTCAGATTACTGAGTCACTTGTGGGCCATCTGGATGCTATGCTAATGACCTATTCTCTCTAGCAAAGAAACATGTAATGTGAGTATCTTGATGCAAAGGTCAGCCCAACCTTAAATCAGACACCAAATCGGAAAAAGCTTAGACAGATGTGTCATCAACATAATGACAGAAAAATATCCATTTAGCAATTTAGATAGGAACCCTGTTCAACCCAACAATCTGGAGAGGATGTCAATCATAAACCATCAAGCCACTGTATGATTACACAACAGCACTGGCTTTGCATCTATTTCCACACGGCAATTAAAGGAGATGAAGGCATTAGGTAGCTGACAGCAGTGTGTGCAGGGGGCTCATTGTATCCTCCCTACACACACACACTTTCTGGAGCTGCATCATGGTACCTTGGTGTGCAGAGGTTATTTTGCAATGTTAGCATAATTCTCTTGACTCTGAGAGCTTGTGGTTGTGGTTGCACTGGGACTCTTTCTAGAATGTGGCTCACTGTTCCCTCGGTCCTTGAACATGGCTGTCCAGGTTCTTAATGAGCTACAGGCCTCTGTTTCTCCTCAGTTCAGCGCCCTCACACCGGCTTTAAAAGGAAATCACCAGACTTACCTTCTTTGAGATAAAAAAAATGAGCATCAGTCCATGTCAGGGTTCTCCATCAGATTGCTTCATTAGCAAATATGTTTTTAGCACAGCATAACAATATATTTACATATGAGACCTTTCAGGTTGACTTATCATCAGTATTCCAACATGCATGATTTACAGATTTAGATTTTTTTAGGCAAATCAAAGGACTTTGTTTTGGTAAGGGAAATATTGTGGGATGTGCCATCGTTATACATATTTTAACAACAATTAGCTATTGTATTTAGCTTACATTTGGCTAACCTTATTCTGTCTGACTGGCAAAGCCACACGCAGTATAGTATTCAACATACTTATCTCATCTTATTCTCCTTCTTCCGCCACAAATGTTGTCGTGCTACTCGTCTGGCAGCGTTGACACGAAACACACAAAAACACATCAGAACGTGCGGAATGACCGGGATCGGGTTGCTATGTCTTTTATAAGAGATTTGCCAAGCCGTTTTCGGGCAAATCACAGAAAACTGCGATTATTTGCCCCATAGGAATGAATGGGAGAGCTCGTAAAGACTTAGAGTGGGTGACATCACGGCTAGAGGTGAGAGGAGCTGTGAAAAAAACTCTTTGATCTTTGAACACACCTGTCGGTCGTTAACTAAATCCAGTGGTAATCTAAAGATGTTCAGAAACGATGCAGGAATGTGGTGCAAGAATCCAAAAGTGTAATAGATAAACAGTTAAAATAGTCAGCTAAAAGTGAGCTAAAATTAATAGATCTTTGTTTTACTTAACAATACAACTAATGCTATTAATACTTACTCAGCGGGGGTAATGTTAGCATCGGGACATGCACCCAAGTTTCAGTCACACAGTCAACATTTCTCTGAATTTTCTAGTTACTACCTAAGGCCTTCATACTGTTAGCAGCCTTCCCCTACAGTGAACAATGTGTGGCACCAATGGGTGGATGCAGATGGGCGGTTGTGGTCATATGCATCACATCCTGTCTGCAGAGCAGGGGGACAGATGTGGACTCCTGGGCATGGACCCCAACACTGCTCCCTGTCGTCCACTGATAGATTAAGAGCGCAGTCTAAATGTTACTGTGTATATGTGTGACTATTAAAGGAGATTTAACTCAAACCTCAATTTTGTCAGATTCAGAATCAATTAAAAAAAAGTTGGTAGGTCAAAAATATAACGAAAATGAAAAGCAACTCTTTTTAAGAAACTATTTAGCCTTAAAATAGAAAAAAGACAAGTATTTGCATAACATTTGTGTTTAAAGAAATTACCTAAGAAGCTTAAAAACTTAATAATTAATATATAACAAAAATGACAAACAGTGTATTGTATTTTTTTAGGTGGAGGGCTGTGGAGACTAAATTATGTATGTGTATACAAATGTCAAGGCATTTTTCAAAAAACTGTACCATTAAAAGTAATCCATTACTATGGCTTGATGGCAACGTGCTTTCTCATGCACTCCAACATTACATTATGAACTAAGCTCACTGAGTTGTTCATTGGGAATTATACCTGTAGGTTGAGACACATTTAATGTTTGGTTATAATCTATCCTATTTGCTGTTTCAAATGTATAAATTAGAGACAAGTTGTTATTAAAAAAAATACAAGTTCCCAAACTGATGTCACTACATGTTCAGCACTTTTAGCAATAGTTTATTTCTGTTGGAATCATAATATTTCTGTGTTCCCTTCTGTGGCACCTTCTGTGTGTTGC